ACGACTGTCAACGTTGAGCAGTGGAACCTCATCAGGCTCCACTACAACAGTAACAAGTCACGCAAACCAAGATGACCTACAAATAACAGCAGTTTCTGTTATTCATCGAGGGGGGAGTGCTGTGGCGAACAATGCCGGTAGGTTCAAGGTTCTTCGTTTAAATACTTTTAATATAGAAAGTGTGGCGAACACATCTGTGGCGCTCACTTTGCCATCTACCGGTAAAGTAAAACCAAAAATGATCTTTCTTGTATGTGAATAAGCAACCAACTTTAAGTAGACGCTAGCAATAGTAATAAAAATATAGTTCCACGTGAACGGCAGAAAGTCAGTAACAATTGTGTTGTATTATTTTGTATAAACTTATGGCACAATGGCCATAAAAGTATTCTTTTGCTTATTGCAAGGAATTATTTTTGACACAGACAACGCGGTACCACACGTTGTGCCTTGATAACTTTACATAAATATTCCTTTGTTTCAATACTTTTACTATAGAATGAATTCTTTTGCTTCGTTATATAGAATGCGGTACACAGCATGCAGAATCAAAGAAAGCTGACTCTTTGATCCTCGCTTCATGCAGTCTTAGCATTTCTCTTCCGGCAAATATTTTGACAATTCTTATAGCTGTTTCGTTCTTTTGTTTTGATTTCTACAAATGTGCTTTGTCTTGTATTCAGTTGCTGGAAGTTCTTAATATTTATTTTATTTGTTATAATAAAATGAGCAATAAAAAGTGTTCAAAAAAATATTAAAAGAATTAATAAATAAATAGCTAAGTGTTTTATTTATTTATTTAATTATATTTTCATAATTTTTCAATGTAATTGCAGATCACTTGAATATATTGCGAGTATGTGCTGTAATTAGTTTCATGTGGGGTAGGTTTTGGTAAGCAGTTTATATTAAATATGATAAATATTTATTAAATGCACTTTATTTCAGGTATTTTTAACATTTGTTATTAATAAGTATTGTAATGAACCTAGTTTCTCGTAGCCGGGGTAGTTCTCAGCCTAATCCAAGGTCTTACAAGAAAATTTATATTCGCGGGGACCCAGCGTTCAACCAATGTAATTTCCACCGTCGTAAGTAAGATGCAATAAACTATTTCTTTTAATTCAAAATTTATTTTTATTTAACAATTTTGTGTATATATGTAAATGTGTAACATATATAACAATAAATGTATTAAAAAAAAAGGAAATTTACAAAATATCAATATCTTAGCAAAAAATAGTTTAATTGCTTTCAATATAAAAAGTATTTAATCACATTTTATTTCGTGAGAATTTACCTTACCCTTGCTGGTACATAATGGCGTACTATCCTGTTGATTGTAACGTCCAGCGACGATAAAAAAAAACAGCAACCAGCGTATGTTTTGCCGTCCGTTGCTTATGGTGTCAACACTTTAGTTTATATATACGAAACTTGCACGGGTACAAAATGTTTTAATCGACCACTGTTAAAGCTGTCGATTATACCTTTTGTACTGTTGCTCTTTATCACTGTGTTTTTTTTTTTTTTTAATACCAGAGGCTTTCAGTCTATATCGATGCTTACGATGCGTTAACTTTAAAATCCATCACCAACTAAGAGACAGCAACTCCTCCGCCTGCCTCTTTTATTCTCTTTTTTTTTTAACTGCATCGAGCAGACTTTCCTGCAGCCGTTTTTAGGTCAATGCTCCCAACATTTCCCCTCATCAGGTGTTCTGTTGTCTTCTTTCCGAACTTCTGAAAGCTTTAGACTGCACTCGCAACTTATTTTTTATTCGCCGTAACTTTTGGCGATCAACCGAAAAATTGTATAAAACAAATTACAATGACATTTCTTTTTTTCCTATTTTTGTTTTGATTATTCTTCCCTTTGTTTCTAATGCAATGTGTTTCCGTACGAGTGATAATGTGGTTCGCGAAAATTAATTTGAATTTATTTTAATTAATATAGTTCGAACTATATTAATTAAAAATAAATATTCAAAAAGGGGTTCAAGGTATGTATGACATTTTCCGATACATTAGTTTACATATCATCAAATTTTATTTTTTTAACAGGAGCCTTCGATTCAATGTCTTCAAGTGAGCGTTGCTGTGATCATGCCATACCATGTAGGCAGCCATACCCACGACGTTGTGACAATTTAAAATTGCGAAAATTTTAATCGTTACAGTATTATATTAGGTGTTTGAGAAAATGTGTGTAAAAATAGATAAAAACTGTATTGTAATATTTTCTTAATTCGTTGTAATATTTATAATTTAGTTCATACCGTACAAAACTGATGTTTCTAGTGTATATTAATGTTGGTGGAAATTTGATGTAAATTTCCCTCAACAACACTCCAATCTAGATAGTTCCCAAGCTGAAATATCTTGGCATGGTTTTTTCCTCGAAACATAATTTTATTCCCCAATTTTTATTCCCCGTAACGTCCGGTTCAGACATATTCAGCTCAAAAACACACTCCAAAGACACAACCAGCTTAGCTGCAAAGTTAAGCTGCTCTGCTATAAGCAACTTATTCGCCCCCTACTCACCTACGCCTTCCCGTCTGTTTGAGCGGAAACTTCTTCGGGATTGCATCAACTATAACCGCACTTCTCTGTGTTCTAGCGTTGCTCTTGAAACCCCCCCCCCCCAATACCTGTCCCACTACCTCGATGCGTGGAACCGTAATCTCCACTCCATTCCCCTATATAGACGCGGCTTTCGTGACCCCAAGCATAAAGTTTACCGCTGACTTCACTCCCGCTTATCCGCTCTAACCCCACCTCCTTCTTTTTAACCCACTTTTCCAAATATACGCCCTTGCTTTCCGGCTTAGATAAATCTACCTCGCTAGGTACTTAGTCTATTTTTTCTCCTCTCTCCCCTGATTACTGGAATGAAGTTTTCACAATGCTGCGGAAATCTTCATTCCTAAGTGGTGGTTTAGTGAGTTCAAGTCTCATAATGCAAATTTCCATCCATACAATGTAATATGAGGTTTAAATTATAAACTTTGCTGGAGGAAGTCGAAACACATTTTTATATGTGTTTTGTTCGCAAATATGGTATTTAGTTACTTTTATGGTGAAATAATTGTCATTGTAAGTTGTATAAAATACACGTAAGCGTAAAATTCAATGTCTTATGATTTTCAAGTATTTATTAATCAAAACATATATTTGAAGTATTACGTATGTATTGTATTATATAAAAAGAAATGTGCTTACTTGCGTCGTTGTCCACGATCAACGTAAAATTGTTTATTTTCATGGAAAATTTTAAAGCAATTTTCTACATGACCATAAAATTGAAATTAAATCTTTAGCAATGATCTTTACTTCTTGCTAATAAATAGAAATACTACTAATTGACAAAGTTAATAAAATTTTATTCAACTTTTTTCACGAGTAAAATTCGAAACGTTTTCCTCAATTAAATTAAAAAACTTAAAATATTTGAAATTGAGTTTTAGTTTTCAATTTCAATAAATGCACAGGCGACTACGTCGCCACTATTGAAGTGTTCAGACAGAGTACCTCTCTCATGGCAGTGCAAGAAAAATATGAAAAAAAATTAGCTTCGTTTGAGCAAAAAGTAATGAACTTGTCTGATAATTTGACTAAAACTAGCAACGAATTAGGTGCTGAATTAGTAAAAACCATCAAAAATAATGAAATTCAAAACGAAACGTACGCAGCGAAACAATCCAAATGTTTCAATAACGTTAAAACCTAAAAATAAGCAATTAAATGAAGTAACTAAAAACGACTTAAAAACTAAAATAAATCCATCAGAGCTTAATGTTAAGGTTTCTGGTTTTCATTCTAAGCATAATGGGAAGGGTAACAATAAAGTGTATAACCTCAAAAGAAAGAAAAATTCTTGCAAAAGAAATTTAAAAAAAATTAAGTAAGAACTATAAAATTAAGACACCTGCTATGCGTAACCCAAAAATCCTCATTACAGGCATGAGCGAGCGTTTGAAAAATGATAAATTTCTCCAAGCAATAAGAAATCAAAACAATATAAAGTTTAAGTATATAAAAGTCTTGAAAATCTATGAGTCCTTCAAAAACAAAAACACCTTTAATGCTTTAGTTGAATAAGATGATATAGCTTTCAAGCAAGTTATGAGCGTTCGTAGGCTTAATATTGGTTGGGAACGATTCATAGTATACGAAAACTTGAATGTAATGCGATGCTACAAATATTGGGGTTTTAACCATAAAGCGACTGTTTGTAAGGAAAGTGAACATATATGTGCAAAATGCGGTGAAGTTGGCCACATATACAAAGAACATAAAAATAGCTTTATCAGATGTGTTAACTATATCAAAGCCAAAAAAAACCTAAATCTGAAAGATCTCGAAAAAAAGTACCCAGATTTCGTAAATAAAACACAAATTTAAATTTTATTCCAAATTTATTTTATCTCCTTCAATCTTCGATACACTTTTCGTAGGCCCGTGCAGGTATGGCATTTAGTTCCTTCAGCGAGTTCTCTTTTACCGATTCAATCGACTCAAAATGCTTACCACAAAGGGGCAATTTTAGTTTCGGGAACAAGAAAAAGTTGCATGGCGCCAGATCTGGCGAATATGATACCTAAACGATGACAGTGATGCCGTGTTTGGCCGAAAAATCGGGTACAACAAGAGCCGTATGCGATGGAGCATTGTCGTGGTGAAGAATCCAATTGTTGAAGAATCCACAAATCTGGTCTTTTCTTATGGATGCACTTACGCAAATAACGCCGAGGTAATATTCTTTATTGATGGTATGACCCTCTGGCAAAAATTCGTAATGAACAACACCGCTGTAGTTTTTTGGGTTTTGGCTCGTTTTCGAAGCGCCAATCGCTGGATTATTGACTGGTTTCGACGTCATACTCATAAATCCATATCTCATCACCTGTTATGATGCGTTTCATGAATGTAAAGTCGTTTCCATGCTCAAAAATCATTTCTTTACACACATTCTTTCGGTATTCTTTTTGCAAAAAATCAAGGTGTCTCGGTACAAGTTGAGCTGCAACGCGTTTCATGCCCAATGTGGTGAACGGATCCATTTGAGATGTTTAAGTCACGAGCAATCTCCCTTTCAGTCATACGACGATCTTTCTGCACAATTTTCTTGATTTTTGTCATGTTTTCTTCGGTATTTGATGTTAATGGACGCCCAGAACGAGACAAATCTTCGATCACTTCACGACCCTCCTTGAATGATTTATACCACTCGTATGACTATGTTCGAGACATAGAAGAGTCCCCGTAAGCTTTCTGCACCATTTTCAATGCTTCAACACATGAAATTTTGTTCAAAACACAAAATTTTAAACAAACTCGATCAACTGAGTTTTCCATAGAAAAAATCGCTAAATGCACTTGAGGTAGTCTCACATTAATAGCTGCTGTAAACAAACTAATTAATAGATAGCGCTCAAATTTGTACTATTGTAACGACACGGATTCGTCGTTTTTAATTTGCTGAGGTATTACTCAGTCGTGGTCCGGGTCGTTGCAATAAATTTGTTTTATCGACTAGTTCGAAGCTGGTAAACCAATGAGAATTAAAAGACCGTTTGATTGTGTTTTTATTTTATTTATTAAAAGTTTTCTTAAATAACTTATTTTAAGCTTGACTCTACTCAGTAAGTTTTATCCAAAGACGTCAGAACATCAAAGGGTTTTTTTCAAATCTACGCAATTAATTTCTAGCCAAAGACGTCAAAACATCAAAGGCGTTATAAAATCTACTTAATTAGTTTCTAGCCAAAGACGTCAAAACATCAAAGGCGTTATACCATCTACTCACAAGTTTCTACAAATTGATTTAGCCTTAGCGTCGAAACACTATAGGCTTCTAAAAGGGACTTAGCGCTGGAGTAGTGGTCTACTCATCTAAAAATCTCCGCTATTTATATAAAACACTTTGCTTTGATTAATTGCACGCATAACCGCACAAGTATAATTTTCGTGCGTGTGGGTGTTCGCTGTGTTTGTCGTGCGTATGGATGTTCGCTGTGTTGATCGTGCGTGTGGATGTTCGCTGTGTTGATCGTGCGTGTGGATGTTCGCGGTGTTGATCGTGCGTGTGGACGTTCGCGGTGTTGATCGTGCGTGCGGATGTTCGCGGTGTTTGTTGTGCGTATGGATGTTCGCTGTGTTTATCGTATTTAAATAATTTTTATGCAGAGAATTTTAATAAAAATAGTAAGTTTATGTATGGCGGAAATTTGTACAAAATTCCGTCCTTACATTTCCCTCCTTCTTCGGGGGACTTGAACTGGACTACTTCGTTGAATGGTTTCGTGTCCGCTTTCTAGGATTCCTAAAAACTTTGAGGAATTCATCTTGATGTGTACTGGTGTAATCATAATCCTGCTCACGTGGTACATCTGGACACTGACTTTTCGACTCTGTGATGAGTTTTGAATTTCGCAGACGTGGTACATCTGGACTCTGACTTTTCGACTCTGTGATGAGTTTTAAACTTCGCTGACGCGGTACATCTGGACTCTGACTTTTCGACTCTGGGATGAGTTTTAAACTTCGCTGACGCGGTACATCTGGACTCTGACTTTTCGACTCTGTGATGAGTTTATGAGTTTTAAACTTCGCTGACGCGGTACATCTGGACTCTGACTTTTCGACTCTGTGATGAGTTTTAAATTTCGCTGACGCGGTACATCTGGACTCTGACTTTTCGACTCTGTGATGAGTTTTGAATTTCGCAAACGTGGGACATCGGGACTCTGACTTTTCGACTCTGTGATGAGTTTTGAATTTCGCAAAGGTGGGACATCTGGACTCTGACTTTTCGACTCTGTGATGAGTTTTAAATTTCGCAGACGCGGTACATCAGGACTCTGACTTTTCGACTCTGTGATGAGTTTTGAATTTTGCTTACGCTGTGGTACTAAGCACCTACATGGTGTCTGCTCTTGTGGATTTTCTTGCTGGTTTATTGCCTGGGCTTTTGAATAATCTTGAGGTTGTACGCGTTGTGTCGTTATGCTTGACTTTGATCGTGATGCTGAAGTCACATTTCTAGTTATAAATGCTGTTGCTTGCTTAGCGATTGATTGGTTCTGAGGCTGATTACTTGGTTTCTGATGAGGAATGGATGACTCAGAGTTTGGACTATGAATAACGTTATCCCGTTCAGGCATATTGGGTATGCTTCTCATTCTATTTTGTAGCACCATTACTTGAGGGGACTCGACTACCATGCGTCCTACTTTCACTTCTCGAACACGATGACGGCTCACTTTATCCTGTTCTGTGCTTAGTTCTTCGAAGTCATCGGCAAGTGTTCATTTAGGCTTGTAAACTCTGAACGTTTAATGTTGTAACGAATTAAAAATTTTGCAGTTTAAATTGTTACAACTACCTACATAACTTCCGCACATACTTAAAGTCACTAAATCGAAGGCGCCTGTAACAAAACAATTTGTTAATAAATACAAAAACTATTAACTCAACCAACTCACGGAATTTCCATTGCCACCAACATCAACAGAACGTGTACAATTGGCAAAGTCTAAAAGTACATAAAATTAAATTTGATGTTATGCAAGAATGTTATACATACCTTGAACCACTCTTTTAAATATTTATTTTAATTAATATAGTTCAAACTATACTAATTAAAATAAATTTAAATTAATTGTCGCGAACCACATTATCACTCGTAGAAAAATAATCAAATCAAAATTAGAGAAAATAAGAAATGTCATTGTCATGTGTTTTGTACATTTTCGGTTGATCGTAAAAATGTTGCAGCGGATAATAAAAGGGAAAAAAGCTGCGAGTGCAGTTTAAAGCTTTCAGAAGCCTGGAAAGAAAACAACAGAATACCTGATGAGGGGAAATGTTGGGGGCATTGACCGAACAACGGCTAGCGAAAAAGTTCGCTCGACGCAGTTAGAAAAAAGGAGAATAAAAGGCGCAGGCGGAGGAGTTTCTGTCTCTTGGCTCGTGTTTATGTTGAACGCAACGCATCGTACCCGTGACGTTAATTACCTGGTTTTTTTTTTAAAATAAATAAAAAAAAAAAAAGTTTTTTTTTTCTTTCTTTGCATTGCAAGTAGCGGGTTTGTGTTAATAGAACAGATACAAAGCGCTTAAGTGATTTTTTTATATAACAATTAAAACTATTTTAATATTAAAATTAACGATTTAAATAGTAACAAGATTTTACAATTTTAATATAAAGAAAAATTAACAAGATTCAAATATTGTTACAAGTTGCGGATTTGTGTTATTAAAACCGAGAAAAAGCGCTTAAGTGATTTTTTTTTATAAAAATTAAAACTATTTTAATATAAAATTAACAAGTTGAAATAACATTATCAAAATTGTGTAATTATTTTTGTAATATATAAAGGAACAAAAATTGAAATAATTTATCGACACGGCGCGAAGCGGTATAATATTGTTAATAGCCACAGTACAAAAGAAATAATTGACGGCTTTAACAGTGGTCAATCAAAAGATTTTGTACTCGTGCTAGTTTCGTACGTATAAACGTGTTGACACCACGGGCAAAAGACGTGGCGCGGCTTGGGTGTCCCTCTCCCCGATACGTGGCAAAGCATAAATTGAACGGTGTTTCTGTATAATCATCGCTGGACGTTGTAAGCAGTGGGATATTACGCTCTGATGTACCAGAAAGGGTAAGACTTATCTATAAAATGCAGTGCAGGTTTTCGCGTAAGTAACTTCAATATATAAGCGCAAATTTACAAGTTATTTTATTTAAATCGAACGAATCGCTTCAAAAATTAACAAATTCCAAATTGTATAATGGAATATCTACAAATTTTATTCATTTAAATGAAATGAGAAAAGTAACAACAATGCAGTCACAATCGTAAAGGCTTCAAGTTAAGAGCATAGGAGTATAAATTTTCTAAACTCAACAAGCTCATGTATTATTAGTTCTTATGAAGTTATTATTATTATTATTTAATCCTTTTATTCCTAGGTGGAATAGAGGGCCGTAACAAATAGTTTCCATTGAACTCTATCTAATGCAAGACGTTTTGTTTCACTCTTTCCAGCATTTCTTAATTCGGTTTCAGTTTGTCGTTTCCAAGTGTTGTGCGGATGCCCTGGTCTTCTACTGCCTTGAGGGTTGAAATCTAAGACATTTCTTGCGATATCATCAGCGGGTTTTCTTAACGTATGGCCAAGCCATTTGTATTTGCGCATCATTATTTCATCAGTTATAAGAGGCTGATTCGTTCTAAACCCGAGCTCATTGTTGGTTATGGTTGCTGGCCAGAATACATGAAGGATGCGTCGTAGACAACGATTGACAAAGGCTTGTAGCTGTTGTGCGTCTCTTGCCGTTAGGTTCCAACTCTCACTACCATATAGTAAAGTTGATTTTACGTTTGCATTGTACAGGTGTATCTTAGTGCGTTGTGTGATGTTGGATGAACGCCAGATTTTGTTAAGGGTTCCAAACGCTTGCTTCGCTTTCGATAGCCTGTACTGTATGTCTTGCCGACTGCCGCCGTTGTTCGAAATGTAGCTTCCCAGTTAGCAGAAACTTTGTACATCTTCGATGTAGGAGCCATCTAGTTGAAACTTCGTTGAGCAGTTTGAATTGAGACGCATAGACTTGGTTTTGTTGATATTGATTGACAGACCAGCTGCCAGTGCACGCTTTGCGATGTTGTTTAACGATATTTGCATCTGGGAAAAGTTATGTGTTAGTAAACAGATGTCATCAGCGTAATCGAGGTCAGTAAGTTTGTTATGAAGGCCGAATGAGATGCCATGATTTGTGCTCATAGCTTCCGACATAACCACATCTAAGACTATATTAAATAGTATAGGTGAAAGAATGCAACCTTGTCGGACGCCAGACTTAATTTGAATTTGCCCGCTGAGACGCCCTTCGTGAAGTACTGAGCAGTGCGCGTCAGAGTACAAGCCTTTTACTAAATTTATTAATTTACTCGGTATACCTTTACACTCTAATGCATACCAGATGGTGGGATGGAGAAGTGTATCGAATGCACATTTAAAGTCGATAAACAGCAAGTATAGAGGAGATCGCCATTCGCTAGACTGTTCGACTATTATTCGAAGGCTGTTTATGTGGTCGGCACATGATCGATTATGCCTAAATCCTGCTTGCTCGGCTCGTAGTGTAGGCTCAACGGCCGAAGTTAAACGTTTATGTAAGACTTGAGCAATAACTTTATAAGCTACATTTAGTAAAGTTATGCCTCTCCAGTTGGAGCATTGCATCAGGTTACCTTTCTTTGGTATATTAATAATGATGCCGTCTTTAAGATTAGGCGGTAATGACTCTTGGGACCAGAAGTTGTTGACAATTGGTTGAATAATTTGAGCAGCTGAAATTTTGTCTGCTTTGAGCAGTTCGGGGGCAATATTGTCCGGACCAGCGGACTTACCTGCTTTAAGCTGAGTTATTGCTGCCTCAATTTCACTGATGTTAGGTACATCTGTGTTTATATCGTTGCGAGCAACACTATGTCTACTACATAGTTCCTGCTGAGGATAGGTGTTGTTTCCCGCTAGGAGATTTCTGTAGTGATCTTCCCAAACTTTTAGCTGACCTTCGGTAGAGTGTACTAGTTCGCCCCTGGTATTTTTTATTGGCTTTGCAATCCTGTGTTTACGTCCCACCATAGTTTTAGTGATGTTGTGTACGTCTTTGAGCCTATGTGATTCGCTTGCTTTTTGGGCTTCTGTTGCTAAATTGTCGAGCCATCTGCGCTTATCGGCTCTAGCGCTGCGTTTAACTTTGCGGTTGGCAATACTGTAGTTGGCTTGTGCCTGCTGCTTTGTTTGGCGCGTTCTTGCCCTGTTAACCTTTTCTTTTTCTCCTTTGCGCGCTTTTATAAGATTCCATGTATATTCGGTGATCCACGGATTATTTTGACGTTGAGGAATACCGACACTTTGTTGTGCTGCTTCAGTGAAGGCACATTTTGCTTGTTCCCAATAAGTTTCGGCTTCAAAGATTTCTTCTTCTAGTGGCAAGGGATTAGGGATTTGGGCCGATAAAAGAGATTGATAGTTATTTTGAACAGTAGGGTTGTCGAGTTTGGCGAGGTCGAACCGTTTCCTTTTGAGTTGTGGCTTTCTAAAGACCGCATTTAATTTGAGTTGTATTTCACCGATTAGTAGATGGTGGTCAGAAGCCATGTCTGCACTTCTTTTATTTCTGACATCACATAATGAATGTCTCCACATTTTGCTGATGGCAATGTGGTCGATTTGATTTTCTGTTGCATTATCTGGGGAAACCCAAGTGACTTTATGCAAATGTTTGTGCGGGAAGAGACTACCTCCTATGGTGAGGCCCATGGTGTTACATAATTCATAGAAACGCTCTCCATTATCGTTCATTGTGCCGAGAGCATGTTTACCCATCACTTGTTTTCTTCCATTGTTATCTGGCCCGATTTGTGCGTTGAAATCTCCCATGACGAGCTTTATTTCACCTCTAGGGCATTTATTTAAAACAGAGTATAGGGAGTCATAAAAATTTTCCTTGATTTGTGGGTCGGTGACTTCAGTAGGTGCGTAACACTGTATGCATGTGAGGGTTCTGGCTCGAGTTTTAAATTTTGCCAGAATTATTCGGTCGCCATGTGGTTGCCATTCTATGAGCGCTTGTTTAGCTTCTTTGGATAATAGAAAGCCTACTCCACTTTCTCTTTTTTCGCCTGTGGCCTTTCCAGAGTATATGAGTGTAGCGCCGGAGGATGTTTTGTATTCGCCGCAGCCATTCCATCTTACTTCGCTTAGCCCGATGAATAAAAGATTGAGACGTACAAATTCACGTTCAAGTTGAGCAAGTTTTGATGTTTCTGCTAGAGTTCATATATTCCAGGTTCCGAATCGTTTCCGTATTTTCATTCCAATAGTCGTCATCAAAGGGAGCCGTTGGTTATAATTATTTGTTTCAGTTTCAGTAATCGTGTAGATTCAGATGAACGAGTGATTAGCCCATGCATCCTATACTGGTACTGGGGCTGCCAGTTAAGGCCACCAGTCAGACCTTCAGACTCGAGAGTCCGAGAAAACGGTGGGCTTTTTAGCGAAGATTGAAGATGCTGTATCTTGCCTACATCCCGGGACGTCACGGAGGAAAAAAGACCATCCGAGTCGCGAACCGTTGTGG